TACCCTACTGTAGCCTTGACCACCAGAACGAATTTCGAGCGCCCCGAAAAGTGCAGAAAAACTCCAGGGTTTTCGCGCGTCGGCCCCTGAAACGCGCGCGTGGCGCGCCTGCGGCGGCGGAGGGCGCCTGTGGGCGGCGCCAGCGGGCGCTCGCCTGCCAGCGGTGCCCGCCCCGCGGCGAGCGAGGGAGGCCCATATTCCCCTTTTCGACATCCCCCTCTTGGGCCCTTCTTGGGAGCCTCCTGGGGCCTCCAACGAGGGATTGATCGGGAGCCTCGAGACGGGGGTCAGTGCAAACGGGGGTCAGCCAGGACGCCGGATCCTGCGGGATCCTGCGAAGACCCCCTCTGGCTGACCCGGGTTAGCGAGCCGCTCGTGGCCGCGAGGCGGCCGCGCGTTTTGGCTGACCCGGGTTTGCGAAGACCTGCGTTGCAGTTTTTTTTTGCTCCTGCATTGCAGTTTTTGGTTTCCTGCTGACCCGGGTCTGGATTGACCCGGGTCAGAAGATCCCCGAATTGAGAACGACCCCATCCCCTACAAAGATCAACTTCATTCTGCGAAGGGCATACGGCTGGTGCCGACGACCCTGAAGGGGGGCGACGATGGCGATAGCTTGGCGGCGAGTCCAGGGGGGGAAGGCTCAGTTGCCTCGATACGCCCGTTTTGAAACGCAATACGTCCCGTGTTCAAGACGTCCGTGTCAATGCGTTGCGTGTTGGCCCCACGTATGGCCCACGTATCGCGTCGGGCCTACGTTTCCAGTCCACGTGTTGAGCTCCATATCAATACGCCACGTGTTGCGTGTTGCGTATCGGGGCAGCTAAGGCGGGAAGTGAGAAGGGGCGGGCCTTCTCAGAAGTCTCGGAAGTCACCCGGCCTTCTGAGAAGTCTCCTAAGCCTTCCCCGAACGACAGAAAAAAATCTTCAGACGGTGCGAGGATTTCTGAGGAGTCACGCCGCCTTATGAGAAGGCCTTCTCCTTCTCATCAATCCCGGGACTTTTTGAGGATCGGGGACGACGTCGGGGTGGTGTGGTGTATACTTTTGTTTCCGCTTCCGGAGAGCCGCGGGAAAATGGTATACACCCGGGTCCCATATACATCAGGATTTGCTTCAAATTTCACTGCAGGCCCGGAAAAAAGTGTCTGTTCATAGAGTTTGTTTCCCTACGTGGTCAGGGGCAACGATAGGGGAGATGGGCACGAGGGGGACGCATCGACCCCCAATCGTCCATTGATCACCGATCAGGGGCCCAGGAACGCGGGGATTGGCTATCAAAGGCCTATCGCCGGTCGATGTTACCCCCCCTGTGACAGTTCCCATCTATCGTTGCCCCTCACATGAGTGGTAAGGAAGGATGTGGGCCTGGCGGGACCAGGACCAGGGCAAAGTTCTCAGACCATTCCGGAGCGATCTGGAACGACCGCGGCCCCCAATATACCTTCCAGAATCGCAAGATCTCAGAGATTCCCGCGTTGTGCCTGTCTGATGTTGTCAAAGCCTTGGCTTCGTCTCAGTGAGGAAAAGGAGGAGAGGAATACAGGAAGGAAGGAACCAGGCAATCAAGGGGAACGAAGAGGATGGAAGGAAAGAAACGAGGAGGAAAAGGAGGAGGAGGAGGAGGAGGAGGAGGAGGAGGAGGAGGAGGAGGAGGGGAGGAGGGGAGAAGGACGGTGGCGACGGCGAAGTGTGCGGAAGCTCGACGGCGACGGTGAAGGGGACGGTGCCTGCAACTCGGGGAGATGCGCGGGGGGGGGGGGGGCGGGTGCAGAGGAGGAGAGGGAGGACGAGGAGGAGGGGGAGGAGGACGAGGAGGCGGAGGAGGAGGAGGAGGACGAGGAGGACGAGGAGGAGGAGGAGGAGGAGGACGAGGAGGAGGAGGAGGAGATGGGAGGAGGAGGTGGGGGGCAGGAGGAGGCGGAGAGGCGCACAGAGGAGAAGGGATGGGACGGCCGCTGGGCAGGTGGAGCAGTGGGACTAGCGCGCGTCGCCGGCGCAGCGGCTCCGCCGGCCGGGGCTCTCGCGCTCGGGGGCGCCGCCACAGCGGCGTGCCCGGCCCAGGCCTCGGGCGCCCCGAAGGGAGTCACGCAAGCAGTGGCGCAGCGTCCACCAAACCACCCCAACCCAACCCGAAGGCTCAGATTTACCCTCGATTTCTAGTGGTGGGGGGGTCGGGAAACATAGAAAACACACGCGTGGAACCCTTACCCCCCCCAACCCGAAATTCGGGTCTGCGGGTTGGGTTGGGGTGGTCTGGTAGGTAGTCAGTGGCGCAGCGTCCTGGCGCGCGCCTGTGGCCCTACCAGACGATGCTCTAGGAGCCCTGCCAGATCTGCACGAACGAAATGGGCACGGAAAGAATGGGCACAATGCCCAACAGCTGTTCCTGCGCATTTTGAACAGGACTCGCTGTCCGCGCCGCCGCGGCCTGTGCCCATTTGAAACAGAAGGCCGCCTGCCCAACAGCGGCCGCTGTTGGTTTGGGACAACATTTGTTGTTGGGCATTGTACCCATTCTTTCCGTGCCCATTTCGGGCGTCCAAACAGGAAATGTGTTCAGAACGCTTCTGGCTGGGACTGCCCTGTTCTTCTCATAGTGGGCTTATGTTCTAAGAGCATCGCTCTTGTTCTGAGAAGATTTTTCGGTTCCACGAACATGTCGCTGTAGGACTAGAAGAATGCCGGGACGGTCGGCCCCTGCAAGTCACAGCAGGTGGCTCGTTCTGTTCCCGCCTGGGCCCCTTGGGTCACGAAGCGGGCGTGGGAGCCCGCAACAGAAAAAGCGCGGCGCGAAATCCAGAGGACAGATTCGGGTGTTGCTAGAAGTGCCCCTTGCCCAGGGTGCCCGGGGTACACGCCGGTCGCTGAAAGTATGTATGTTTGGGCTCCCAGATCCCAATCTACTTCAAGCGTCTTCCTACTTCAAGAATCGACGCGCTTTTGCTGTGCTTTCTCATTCTCTGGGGGGGCCTGGACCCAATCCACTTTGTCCGCCTTCCTACTTCATGTTTGTAACAACTTCTTCCGACCGACGTGTAGGCCAGGGGCACCGTTGGCAACCCCCGACAGATGGGGTCGAGAGCTCTGGTGCCACCTGCGCTGGGAGACCCAAAGGGCGCCCGAGGTCTGCATGGGTAGGCTGACAACAGGCTTTGCCGTCGATGACGGCTATCTATGAGGCCTGACACATTTGAATTTGTCGTTTTCTCGGGTCTCGTGTTCGACCCGCGGCTGACTGTAAAGTTCAAGGCCGCGGCGGTGCAGTGCATTGGTCCGCGGCTTCTTCCCTTGCATCTAGTTCCGCTGCCGCGCGTACCCGTCACCCTGTTCGGGGAAGTTGTGCACCAACGCTGTGGCATAGCACGTATGGTTGCCTCCTTGGGGGTCTCCAAGGGGGCCGTTGGGGGCTTTTCGGAGGCATGCTGAAGGCGTATTCCACATCACGATGGCTTTCTTGGGGGGTCGGGGCCTCGTATGGGGCCTCGTGGGGCCTGGGGCGTATGGGACCTCTCAGGGGGTTTGGCGTGCTATGTTGGGGGCGTGTGGCCCGGGGATTGATCTGCGACAGATTTCGAAACTTGCCCTTGCGGATCCAATCGACGCTGGGGTATCGCCCACCCCCGCTGGGGTGTAGGCATCCCTCGAACTCTGAACCTCTGTCGGCGTTTCAAGAAAGGCGGCCTGCAGGGGTCGGGTTCGCATGTGGTTGCCCGACGGCATGAGCAAGCGCGCCTCGCCCTGCTGAGAGCGAAGCTGTGGTCACTGCCAGAGTCGGCCGTGTATTGGCACCAGTTTCGGGGGGGCGGGCCCTCAGCTCGCAGACGTCACCGCGTGCACTGCAGGAGCACAGAAGGAGTCCTGCGCGCAAGCCTGCCGCTGCAAGGTGCGGCGGTGGAAGAAATATAATTATCGCGTAGTCGCAGCGCCAGTGATCAATGAACGCTTGCTTGCTTGCATTAACTGTCTGAACTTTACGCACCCGCACCTTCTCCGCCCATGGCCCTCCACCTCCTGAGCCCTCCTTATCCTCACGATCAGGATGCTCCTTGTCTTAGCCACTGCCCATCCTCCTCCCTTCGTGTGTCCAGGCCCTGCACAGCAGATGGCTGCCCCCTCCGTCCACCCCCCCTTCCGTGCACACTCATTGTGGTATCCCCGCGTGCCCCATTGCTCCGAGGCCCACTCACTCCTCCCCCCCGTCTCCTGCAGGGAGCTCCCAGGGGAAAGGACACCTCGAGGAAAAGCACCTCTCATGGCGCCCCATCGCAGAGCGGATCTCGATCGGATAACGGTGGGATGGGCCCGGCTCATCCTGGAGAATTTCGTTTCAGAGTTCGGAAGTAGATTCCGTGCGAATGTTTTGGTTGAACAGGAAGCAAGGCTACAAAGTTGCAATTGCACCAGAGAAAAGCCCCAATCAGTGGATGGTTTTCGCTGAGGAGATCGACCAGGAACCCGGGAGCCCAGGAACCCAGAACCCACCGAAATCGACCTGGAACCAATGACCGGGAATCCAAAAACCCGGAACTGGGAACCTGGGAACCCAGCCTGCTACCAAATTCCGCGGGAAACGTTCGCCAAATGTTCAACCTTCCGCGAGGACCCCTTCAGTGCAAGCACTGATTGGGGAACGTCCCCGGGAAATGCGCCTCGTTGTTCGCTCGCCGCGCCGGGGTTCTGCATCGACAGAGGTGAGGAGGAGGAGGAGGAGGAGGAGGAGGAGGAGGAGGAGCCGCTGCAGCGCGCCCACTGCAAGGGCGGCGCAGCGGCAGGGAGGGGGCAGAGCGGCCCCGGGGCCGAGCGGGGGACGCGCATCGCGGGGGGGGCCAGCCCCACGCCTTCCTCCTCTCCTCCCCTCCTTCTTCCTCCCTCCAAGCCCACGCCTTCCTTCCTTCCTTCCTTCCTTCCTTCCTTCCTTCCTTCCTGCCTCCTTCGGCGGCGAGCGAGGGGGGGAAGTGAGAAGGAGGAGGGGCTTCCTGGGGCCACGAAGAGTGGCGAACGAATACCTCCTCATTTCCCACCCTGGTTGAATTCAGCCTCTCCGCGCGGAGTACCCGCAACGTGGTATCCTGTGTAGTCGCGGGCCGCCCATGACTGGACGGTGGTTTAAAGTAGACGACCAAGCGTCCCTTGGCCGGGCTTAGACTGTTGTGAGACCGTGAGACCATTAGATTGGATATCTCTCGTCTTGCGTCTCATCGGCTTCTTGTTCGGGGCCTGGCCTGTTATCGTGCGCGCTGGTTTCATCGGATTGACCAAGCCCGCTTGTCGGAGGGATGGGAAGCCGCCTTCTTGTGGGAGCTTCTCGGCTCCCCCCCCCGTCGTCAAGACGGGGACAGATGGGGAAGATGCCTAGCTGGTTGCTGTTGGAAGGATGGGAAGCCGTCTTCTTGCTGGCTCTTCTCGCCCCACCCCCCCTGGCTTCTTCAAGACAGGGGAAGGATCCGACTGCATGTAGGGGTGGCCCTTCGCCGGAGGTGCCTCTGGTGCGGGCCCGCAGGGCTCCCCCGATCGCCGAGCGCGGTGCGATGGCAGCGTCCTGTGCGCCTGTGTCTGGTCCCCCCCGCGGCCCCCAGAAAGCCGCGCACCAAGGGTCGCTCGTGCCCAGGGTCACTCCTGCGCGCGGCCGAAGGAGGGGCAGGGGGCGAAGGTGGGAAGGCCGCGAGTTGGTTCTCGTGCTTCCCCGAGCCCAAGGCGGGGGGGGCGCTTCAAAGCAAACTTCGGAGAGGCAGGGGCCAGCAGCGCGCCAGGACTTGCAGGCCCCCCCCCCGCACCCCCTTTCGGGGCAGGGAGGGAGGGAGAGGAGGGAGGGAGGGGGAAAGAGGGACGCGAAGAAGGAGGAGCGAAGATGTTGAGGAGGAGGAGGAGAAGGAGGAGGAGAACGAGGAGGAGGGAGTAGTAGGAGGAGGAGTGTGAGGGAGAGAGGAGGAGAGAGGAGGAAGATGAGGAGGAGGAGTTGGAGGAGGAGGAGGAAGAGGGAGGAGCGAGGGCGAGCCGCGAGGAGAGAGGAAGGAGGAGAGAGAGGAGGGGGAGAGAGAGCCTTGCAGAGGGAAGGAGAACGGCATAGGAGGATCATGGAGTGAGACGAGAAGAGGTGGGGGGGGAGGAGGGGAGAGGAAGGGGGGAGGAGGGGGGGAGGGGAAGGAGGGAGAGGAAGGCGCAATGAAAGAGGAGGGGGAGGAGGGGGGGAGGGAGGAGGGAGCAGGAGCAGGAGCCGTGGCAGGATCAGGCCAGGTCTCAACAACCCTGTTTGCTGAGTTAGATACCTTGAGTGCGCGGCTCTCAGAGCATGCGAGCTTCCAATTCGTCATTGCGCAGCTAGCCGCTGCGCTTCTAATTCACACGCTGCTCAGCAAATTGCCCGTCGGGTCAGAGCTCACGGTGTCGACTTTCCTCCTCCTCCTCCTCCGCCGCCTCCTCCTCCTCCTCCGCCTCCTCACAGGCCAGGCGCGCCCCCCCGCTGCGCTGACCCGGGTCAGTGCGTGCCCGAGGGCAGGTCGTGGGCCCCCGAGCCATTCGTGTCAGCAGCGCCCTGAGCGCACGCTTGCACTTCGCGAGTGGGGGGTGGGGATGGGGGGGGGGGGAGGGGGGGAGGGGGGTGGGGGAGGGAGAGGGGGAGGGCCGGGCGTGCGCCTGGTGGATGAGAGGTAGCAGCCACAGCCCCCGCCCAGAGAAGGCGAGAACGCCGGGAGTCAGATGCAGGCCCCCCCACAGGGGGCCAGAGTGGGTGGGGTCGGAGGATCGCGCCGCATCGCCGGTCAGCGATGCATTGGCGATGCAGCGCGATCCTCCCACCCCATCTGTGCTGGACCCCTCTGGGAGGCCTCTAGCAGTGGTCCCGGCCAACTCTTGCCGCGGGCACCATCCCGCCAACCAGGCGCCAGAGCACCTGGCGGCGCGCACGTGCGCGCCCTGCGCAAGCCAGAAGCACGTGTGCTCTAACCCGTGCGCCATGCAACCAGCAAACATACCACGAACTTCGGGAGATGAGGAGGAGGAGGAGGAGGAGGAGGAGGAGGAGGAGGAGGCGGAGGAGGAGGAGGAGGAGGAGGAGGAGGAGGAGGAGGAGGAGGAGGAGGAGGAGAGAGGGAGGCGTGGAGGAGGAGGGGGGAGGAGGGAGGAGGAGGCGGAGGAGAGGAGGGAGGAGGAGGAGGGAGGAGGAGGAGGAGGAGGAGGAGGAGGAGGAGGAGGAGGAGGAGGAGGAGGTTTAGCGCGTCGGAGGCGGGCCCGAACGGCCTGCGCAAGAACGGCAGGCCGTGCGGACATCGGCTGCCTCGGCGAAGACGGGGATGCGGGCCCTGCCCGAGCAGAGGCCCGCTGGTGCCGACCCCCCTGACCTTCCAGAGTGCCAACAAGTAGCACTCCAGACCTATAGATCTGTCTGGGCTGCCCCAAACCTCGACAGGAATTAACACGTCGACGTCCTGGTGCTGTTTTCTAGCCCTCCTGGAAGGTCAGGGCCCCCCCCCCCCGAGCCCGAAGCACCCACAGCCGCGCAGGAGGCCCCGCTGCAGGAGGCTCCCCATCGAGCCCAGCTGCTCGCAGTCCGACGGGGGCGACCCCCCCCCCGCGGCCGCCTCCGGGGGCGCGGCCTCGCCCGCCCAGGCAGGGGGGAGGCAGGACGACGACACGGCCACCCACGACGAGACGGCAGGCGGAGAGGGGGGGCGGGGGCCCTGACCTTCCAGGAGGGCTAGAAAAATAGCACCAGGGCGTCGACGTCCCAATTCCTGTCGAGGCTTGAGGCAGTCCAGATAGATCTATAGGTCTGGAGTGCTATTTTTTGGCACTCTGCAATGTCAGGGGGGGGCGGGGCCCCTGACCCTCCAGGAGGGCTAGAAACCAGCACCAGGACGTCGACGTCCTGATCCCTGTCGAGGTTGGAGGCAGTCCAGATAGATCTATATGTCTGGAGTGTTATTTTTTGCACTCTGGAAGGTCAGGGAGGAGGGGGGCGCGAGGGCGGTGGCCGGGAAGCTGCTTGCTGCAGGCGTGGGCGGGCTCGGCACGGATCGACGGGATGCTCTTCGAGAGGCTCCGCCTCACCAGGACTCCCCCAACCCCTGGAGCGGATCGACGGGACGCATCCTGGAGTGTGGGCCCTCGTGGCCTTCGACGAGCATCCCGAGAGGCGCGGTGGCCTGCAAGCCAGGCCAGGGGGGCCACACGCTAGCCCCAAGTACCCCACCTTCCCCCCTCAGAAATGGGGCCCTTGTGGGAGGAGGAGGAGGAGGAGGAGGAGGAGGAGGAGGAGGTGGAGGAGGAGGAGGAGGAGGACGAGGAGGAGGAGGAGGTGGAGGTGGAGGTGGAGGAGGATCAGGAGGAGCAGGAGGAGGAGGAGGAGGAGCAGGGTTCGCATGTGGCCTCCTAGCAGGTCTGCGCCTGTCTCAAAGTGCTCGACCTTGAGCCTGGAAGTCTGGGGGCCGCCAGGGCTTCGGGGGCTCGGGGCCGCACAGCGGGGCTCTTGCGAGGGGGGCGCGGACGGCGGTGGCCACATGGCACCGCCCACCAAACCACCCCAACCCAACCCGAAGGGCTCAATTTGCCCTCCGTTTCCAGGGGGTGCGCGGGAGAACGTTGACAAAACCACGGATGGAACCCGTACCCCCCCCCCCCCCCCCGCCAACCCGAAATTTGGGTCTTCGGGTTGGGTTGGGGTGGTCTGTTTACCTCAAGACCCGTTTCCCCATATTGTTGTGGGATGTCGTTCCAGAGTTGTGAGGTCTCCCTGGGTGTCATGGTCAACTCTTTGTTCTTCTTCTTTTCATTAGTATTGGTATGCGTCTTAGTACATTTACCATTCGCATTGTTACGGGTGTTATTTGTGATGGTATGGCGACGAATTGTATTATTAGTACGATTATGTTTGGCATTCGCATTATCATCAGTAGTATCACTCTTAGTGTAGATACTTCTAGAAGTAGTAGCATCATCAATCGTACTGGTTGTGGTATTGATAGTATTAGGTGTGTGATGATGAGTATGCTTATTCTGTTTACGAGCATTCGTATGTCATTATTATATATGTCAATCGTAGTATTCATCTCATGCTTCTCAGTATCCTTAGTCTTATTGTTAGTATGCTTGCCGTTTCAACCGAATCCCTCGCTCGTCGTCCCTTCCCCCGTTTGATGCCCCCGGCAGAAGTAATGGCCCGAAGTCCATACCAGCAGCGCCACCGCTGCTGCGGAGCTGCCGTACGGGCGCGGGCGGCGCGGCGCGGCCCCCTGCGCAGCTGCGGCCTGGCGCGGACAGCTCACGGCGACGGCGCCAGCGTGGAGCCGGGCATGTGCCCCTACACGAGGAATGTTCAAACATAGTCCAGAAATAGTCTGGGGACGGTTTTCTACAGTTGTTGGTTCTTTGTTGGTGCATGTTTTGACTATGAGGTATGTGTCGTCCAGAATGCGCCTGTAGGAGGACACGCCCGACCTGATGCTAGTGAGGGCGGGGAAGGCGGAATGAGTAATTAGCAGGAGCTGTGGTCGTAGCAGCACGTAGGGATGAGCAGCACCAGGAGGTAGTAGTGCCAACAGGTAGAGGCGGACATATCTATACATCTATATATATAGAGAGAGAGGTAGGGTTAGAAGCGGGGTCAGCGGCAGTAATAGCAGCAGCAGGCGTAGCCGTAGCGGCATGTGGTATTATGGTGGTTGTCGGGTGGTGGTGGTAGGTGAGTGGGGGCAGGGGGCAGTCGGTACGGGTGATAGCAGGTCGCAGGCTGCAGTCAGGTGGTTTTGGGTCGCGCTAGCATGTGGCGTGCAGCAGGCACTGCAGTAGATGGTCGGCGGCAGGTGGCATTCGTGTCCAGCGGCGGTGACTGGTGGGCAGCAGGCCTGCACGGGCCCGGGAACCCACCCACGGTGTTGGGAAGGCCGCCGGTGCCGCCGACCCTGAAGGCGGGAGCCCCCCTGGGACCCCGGGGGCTCCATAACCCTGACCTTCTAGAGTGCTAAAAAATAGCGCTCCAGACCTATGGATCTATCTGGACTGCCCCAAACCTCGACAGGAATTAGGACGTCGACGTCCTGGTGCTATTTTTTAGCCCTCCTGGAAGGTCAGGGGACCCCGGGGGCCCCATAATTATATGTGATCCCTCGGCCGGGGGCCGGGGCCGGGGCCGGGGACAGGCCCCGCCGGCTGGGCCCGGGGTCGGGGCCGGGGCCCGGGCGGGGGCCAGGGCCAGGGCGCGGCGGCGGGCGGAGAGGGGGCCGGGGCCAGGGCCCGGGGCGGGCCTGGGGCCACGCATGGGGCTGAAGGTCAACGGCACCGTTACGGGTACTTACTAACGGGTACTTTGAATTTTTGCCGAAAGTTGTCACTTTAGGGCCTTTTTCTTGCATTGCAGCTTTGCCCACATCGGGAAGGGTTGGGTTCGCTGGGTCACTGGCCAAAGTACCCGTTAGTGGAGTCCCCGTTTGAGGGGCGCTGATAAGGGCCGGGGCCACGGCCGGGGCTGAAGGGCTGGGGCCGCGGCTGGGGCTGGAGGCCCAGGCCGGGGCCAGGGCCAGGGCCAGTATATAGGGCCGGCCCCTTTTGGCACCACCCCCCCGGGACCCCGCGAAGCAGACCCAGACCCGACCCCCGTATACCCCTCCCCCTCTACCCCCCCTGCCCCTCCCCCTCCGCCCCTCCATCGTCGGGGAGGGGCACATGGGAGGAGATCGGGTTGATTACGACGTTTTTGCTCTCTGTTCGTTCCTCAGTTTTATGGGGACTGACGACGACGACGACGACGACGACGACGGCGGCGACGACGAAGACGAAGACGAAGACGAAGACGAAGACGAAGACGAAGGCGAAGCGATGACGAAAACGAAGGCGAAGACGAAGGCCAAGACGACCACAGCGTCTCACGCTCCCCGAAGGGTCGGCGGGTGTGCCAGCGTATGTGGTTTCTTGCATTCTCGACATGCTCTGTACGTGGCGCAACCTGTGGTAGGTAATTGATGTTGTGCAATCTACGCGGTTGCAGATCGATTGGAAGGCCGTTGAAACGACGGACTGACTGGATCTTGTCTGCTATTTCTTGTCTGGCGCGTGCGAGAATCATCGAGAAGCCTGGGTGTGGGAACTTTCAAGAATGGGGCTTGAGAGAATCACCAAGAAAGTGGGAACCGCGCGCGCAGCAGCCCGCGCAGGGCGCGCTCCGGCGCATGCTGCCTCTGACTCTGACTCTGGCAATCTACGCGGTGCTATGTACAGTGTGCGATCTATGTGGCAACCGGTATAAGGTGAATCTACGATGTGCGTCAACTCCAACGCCAGAGCAAACATCCCCCCCGCCCCCCCGCTAACTACTGGTGATACGCAAGAGGTCATGTGTGCCCTCACGTATCGGAGCTTGCAAGCGAATCGAAACAGGCTCACTGCCGCGCGGAGCCTATCCATGCAGATCCACGATTCGGGCGGGCGAAAGAAGAGGATAGCGGGAAACGTTTGAAAACATATATTAATTTGGCACGACATCATTGAGTGTGTGTTTTGTTCCACAGCGATTCGTAGCAGTTCTGAGCAACACAAAGCAATGCAATGAGACGATTTGGTCGACATTGTTTTGCATTGCTTTGCATTGGTTGCCGTTGTTTGCCGTTGCTTGTCATCGTTGCTTGGCATTGCCTGTTTCGCCTGAGGTTGCCCGACGGTTTGGGCGCGAACGGGCCCGTCGACACCCCCTTGTAATGTCCAAGCGGCTTGCTTGCAACGTCGCGGTGATTGCGGTGCTCTCAGACGAGACTCGTCCAGTTCTCCGCAATTGGCGTTTCTCTTGATCGGTCCCGACAATCTGGGCGCAAACGGGCCTTTGAAGATCCCTTGTCGACATACCCTTGGGCTGCCCGAGTGCTATATCTGCTCCATGGCGATGACTATGGATCTCCGAGGAGAGACCCGTCAACCTGGCCAGAAACCTTGGTCTCGCACGGAGAGGGCCCCTGGAACGCTTCTTGTTGGCTCCCCCTCCTGGAGGGTCAAGAGTCATGCCTGCTACGTCGCAGCAAGTCCGAGCACGAGTGGGACTGAGTAGTACTAGGGTGGGTCCGAACCTTTTCTAGCCCCAGAGGGGGAACTGAACAAAAAGGCCACAGCGGAGCGGCTGAGCCCACGAGGGGAGGCAGCAGAGTGGGGCATCCGACGACGACGGGCCATACACCGACATCGATCCTGGCCGGGCCCATCTGGGGCCCGAGATCGGCGTACACGACGTCCTCGCAGACGTATTTTCCTACCCTGGGCCCGGGAGAAATCGGTGTCGGCGTATCGGCGGCCTCATCCAACATGTTTATGCCATGTGTGCGTCGCCCCCCCAGGGACGACGCGCGCACCGAGAAGTCTCACAGCATGTGCGTCGCGGCGGGCGCTTCCTGGCCACGCCGCTCGGGAAGCGATCTACCACAAGATGGGTATCCCATATGTTCGGGTCGGACGCGCGCCTCCGAGGGTCGGGTCGTACGAAAGGGGGGGATTGGGAAAGGGGGGGTTACGAAATCTGCTGCATGCAGCTGGTTCCGGCCCCACCGAGGGGCCCATTCTTCGATACATGGCCGCCTCCCGCGCCGGGAGGCGCAAGGAAAATCAGCTACGTGAGCTGATTCTAACCCCCCCCCTTTGCTATCACCCCCTTCCGCCCGGCCCGAGAGGAGGACATACAGTATTAGTATTATGTCGGGCGTGTCCCCCTAGAGGGGGATTTCCAACGAAAAATAAAAAACACCCCCAAAAATAGTCTGGGGTAATTTTCACCTTTTTGGGGCAGTTTGGGGGTATTTTTCTTCCGTCGAAAATCCCCCTGTACGGGGGACAGGCCCGACATAATGTCAGTATGTCCGTGTGCGTCCCATGCCGTAGCTTGCGTCCCGTGGGAAGGGGGCGGAGACAGCTGCCACGGGCTGCCTCTGAGCGGCGCTGCCCCGGCGCTGCGGGCCGTCACGGGGGGCCGCTGCGGGCGCGGGCGCGCCCACCGGCAGCCACGGCGCCCGCGGGCTGCCTCTGCAGGCTCCTCCCCTCTCCTCCTCCTCGACGTCCCTCCGCCTCCTCTGCCCCTCCTCCTCCTCCTCCTCCTCCTCCTCCTCCTCCTCCTCCTCCTCCTCCTCCTCCTCCTCCTCCTCCTCCTCCTCCTCCTCCTCTCCTCCTCCTCCCCTCCTCCTCCCTCCTCCTCCTCATCCTCCTCCTCCTCCTCACTCCTCCTCCTCCCTCCTCCTCCTCCTCCTCCTCCTCCTCCTCCTGCTCCTCCTCCTCTCTGTGTGTCTCTCTTTCTCTCTCCCTCTCTCTCTATATATATATATCTCTCTCTCTCTCGGCCTCTGAGTTCTCCGAACGCGGCCACTTCCTCCTCCTCGTCCTCCTCCTCCTCCTCCTCCTCCTCCTCCTCCTCCTCCTCCTCCTCCGCCGCCCCTTCCTTGATCCACACCCCCTCTTGCTTCCTCTTTCTCCCCTCCCTACGCGTGTCCTCCCCTGGGAGCGACTCGGGGAACGGGAAGGAAGAGGACGAGGGTGAGGTAGAGCAGAAGGGAGAGAGGGGGGAGGGGGAGGGCTGCAGGGGGGGGAATAGGGAAGGGAGATAATGGGGAGGGGGAGGGAGGAGGAGGAGGGGATGAGGAAGGAGGAGGAAGAGGAGCAGGGGGTGAGGGGCAGGGCGGGAGGATGATGTTGCTCTTTTGCTCCACCGACTGATTGGTGCTGCTTCCGCTCAGGATCCTGACTCCCAGAGGCGCACGAAGGTCTCGGGAGGCCTCTTGAGATTGAAAAAGGGCCAGACATATTCAACATTAGCCAAGCACGTCCAACAAGTTCTCTAGGTCGAGGGCAACATTTAGAGCACATTCCCCTCGCTGATCCTGCTATTCCTTCCTCCCTCCCTCCCTCACAGGCGACAATTCAGCTTGGAATCGCGTGGGTCCACCTCGTCGTCGCCGTCGCCGTCGCTGGTGTCCTTCTCCTCCTTTCGCATCCCCCCTCCCCCTCCTCGCGAAGTCGCGCCCTGGCGCGTCATCCCACGTGGCGTACGCTGCACTGTTCAGAGGACCTGCCAGGTTTCGCACGCACATTGGCTAGAGGCGACTGGTGTGTTGCTGCCTGGAGGCGACTGCTGTGTTGCACCCCTTACTGCTGCCTCTTCCATCTTACCTCGTCCCGACTGGCCCCGCCGCTAACGTCCAGGGCGCGAGCTAAGAGGTGTTTTGGCGGCTCCGTGGACAGCTGTTGCTCTGATTCCGTGTTGCAGCACGTGCGGAACGAAGAGAGAAGGAGAGACGGCCCAGACAAAACGACAGCGGAAAACACTTTTTTGCTCGCGCCCTGCCGTGCCGCGCCGCATGCGTTCTGCCCAGGAGGCGACGCTGCCTCTGGTCGGATGGAGGCGGCGTGTCGCCAAGGCGCGGCTACGACAAAGGCGCAGGCAGGCAGGCAGGGCACGCAGGCCCAGCCCCGTCACAGCAGGGCGTCCCGTGTCTGGCGGCCTGCGGCCCATGCCTGCCACGATGACTGGGTCTCTTGGGCACTCCAGATTTCGTAATAAAAGGGAGGGGGTCACAACCCTCCCAGACGAGAAGTCTTCGACCCCCCTAGACCATCCATGAAAGGGCGGCCCTTTGCCCAGACCCCCCCGAACCCTCCAAGACAGCTCAAATCAGACCCCCGGAGTAGCATCTTGGAAGCTCCGTCTCGTGGGCGAAGATCAAGCGGTGGCGAAGCGTCCTGGCTCGCCTACAGGCCCACCAGAGAGTGTTAGTAACCATAACCTTGCGTGGCCCGTACGAGATGCTCTTAGAACAGTTCTGGCCGAGGCCGTCTTGCTTTCACACATCGGCTTGACGTTCTCAGAGCAATCCTATCTTTTTTTGTTATGAGGACATTTCTGTGTTCTAAGAACCTGCTGTGGTAGGCCTACAGGCATGCTGGGACGGCCGGCCCTTGCTCAAGGCAAGACCCTCCGTCTCTGGCGGCCTCGCGGGCGGGGCCCCTGGGCCGCGACCCCGCGGATGCGGGGCGTGTCTCCGCGGAGAGGCCCCGCGCGGAGCGCACCCGTGCGTCCGCGCGTCCACGGGGTCGCGCCCCAGAGTCCAGAGCGCGAGGGCGCGCCGGGGTTCAAGTCAGGGTCGGCAAAGAGGAGGGTGATGACTAGGGGGGGGTGGATATCATGGCGTGGGCCATGATATCTCCTCAGATTTCGTGGCGCCTCTTCTTACTTCATCGCGTCCCCAGCCCCCCCCATGGGCCGCGTCATGATTTGCACCCCCCCCGCTTGGACGCCCCCCTCTTGTGGCCGCCCCCGATCAGGAGACGGGGGTCAACGCAAACGGGGTCAGCCACAGCGCTGCACTGACCAGGGTCTTGGCGCAGGATCCTGCAGGATGTTGCTTGGCATCGCTCGGACGTGTGCATTTTTCTTTCGGCGAGGACCATCGAGGAGCATCCTCGATCATCTGGCGAAAAAAGCCACGCACGAAGCCGAAAAAAACACAGGGAATGGACGTCCGAGCGATGGCCAGAGCCAGAGCGCTGCACTGACCAGGGTCTTGGCGCAGGATCCTGCAGGATGTTGCCGCATCCTGCAAGGCCCGACGGGCCCGGCTCTGGATGGACCCGGGCCAGTGCGTCCTTGGGCGCGGCTGCAGACGTGCTCGCCGCTCGTGAAGAACATTGCAGGCCTGGGCCTTGCCTGCGTCACGACAGAATATACGCATGCGAGCAGTACTTTTGTCCATATCCACTGCAGTATAGAGTTTCGGGCTCCCTTCCCCAGAAGCCCGAGGCGCACTGGATGTGGATGAATTTCTCCCCCGGAGGCACGATTTTTATTTATGTCCAGTGCACCTCGGCCTTGTGGCGCCCCTTCCAAAAAAATCGAAGGCGCACTGGATATGGACATAAATCTTGCCCGCAACGCAGACGCCCTCGAATGGATTGTTCCTGGGCCCCAGTGGAGGGTGGCCGTGTATAAGTCATCACTGGGAGCCGGCGTCTTTCTGCACACCCGCCCTCCTTGAAGGTACACGCAACATTCGTCGGAGGGTGCCTGTGTGTATGCGTTTTCGCGGCGTACTGTCACTGCAGGACGCCCCGTATTTGGCGGCCTGCGGACCCTCCCCGTCACCATGCTCTGGTCTAGGCCTCCCAGATGGGGTCCGAGTAGATGAGGTCGAAGGATCGCGTCGCATCGCCGACACATCGCCAACACATTGCCGACGCATCGTCGATACATCGGCGACGTTTGCGATTCATCGGCGACGTCGGCTTGTGGTAAGTCGGGCTCAACATCGAGCCGCATCGCCGATGCATCGTCGATGTGCCCCGATTCTCCGACCCCATCTACTCAGACCCCATCTTGGCGGCCTCTATATAGGGCCTCTTGGCTCTTGGGTGGCCTCTCTCGGGGTCCTCGTCGCCGGCGCGACGTCGGGCGCGCAGGGCTTCCCGGCGGAGCTCACGGAGTGTTCTTGCGGGGGCTTCGGGACGGGAAGATCGACACGGGTACGGAAAGAATGGGTACAATCTAGGCCTCCAAAATGGGGTCGGAGTAGATGGGGTCGGAGGATCGCACCGCATCGCCGATGCATCGGCGATGCGGCTCGATATGGAGCCCGTGTTTCGCCACTCCGACGTCGCCGATGCATCACCGACGTCGCCGACGCATCGCCAATACATCGGCGATGCACTGGCCCCAATCTACTCGGACCTCATCTAGGAGGCCTCCAGTACGTACGTTCGCTTGCAAATCATGGGAGCCTGGTGATCCCTCTGAATTCCGTCTTTAGCGCCGATCAGCGTCTGGGAGTCGATGAGATAGCGCCGATCTAGCGTCGGTTGGCGTCGATTTAGCGTCGATTAGCGTCGAGCATCGTCGATTCAGCGTCGATTAGCGTCGAGTCATAAGAGCCGACAAGATGGTATGGGAGGCTCCCATGAGTTGCCACCGAAGATCGACATGGCTACGGAAATAATGGGTACAAAGACCGACAGAAGTTCCTGTTCATTTTGAACAGGTCTCGCTGTCCGCGCCGCCGCTGACGTCGTCCACTGAAGACAGAAAGCCGCCCACCCAACAGCGGCCGCTGTCGGTTTTGGACAGCATGTGTTGTTGGGCATCGTAGAACTGCTCTTCGTACCCATTTCGGGCGCCCAGTTTGAGACGGGGGTCAATGCAAACGGGGGTCAGCCAGAGCGCGGGACCTTGCAGGATCCTGCAGAGCCAGGGGTCGCACTGACCCGGGTCTGGGCGCAGGATCCTGCAGGATCTTGCAGGATCCTTGGCGTTGACCCGGACCGGACTTGGGTGCAGGATCCTGCAGGGCCTGATTGCCCCGGGTTTGGATCAGCCCGGATCAGTAGATCCCCGATGCTTCAGCCTCCTCGCGCGGGCGTTCCCAACCTCTGTGGGCCCTTTGTGGGCCCCGGAAACGGCAGGGCGTTTTTTTCACCGTTTCCGAAGAAGTGTCCTTTGAAAATGGAAACGGCAAAAAAACGGCGACCGGAAACGGCAAACAAACGGCTCCAGGATTGGACCCGGAGCCAAAACCGATCCAAAAACGGCGACGGAACCGGCAGAAAAACGGCGTCGGAGCCGGCAAGAAAACGGCAAAACGGAACCGGTAAAAGAACGGCCCTGCCGTTTCCAGGGCCCACTAAGTGTGGGCCCCCAGTCCCAGTTGGCAGTACAGGCCGATGTTTGGCACCGCTTGGTATCTCTTGGAAGCGAGGGTGGTCAAAAGCGAGGCAGGTTTGTTTTCCTCCTAGATTCTTCGGCCTCCTCGCGCGGGCGTTCCCAACCTCTGTGGGCCCCTTGTGGGCCCCGGAAACGGCAGGGCCGTTTTTTCACCGTTTCCGAAAAAGTGTCCCTTGAAAATGGAAACGGCAAAAAAAACGGCGACCGGAAACGGCAAAAAAACGGCTCCAGGATTGGACCCGGAGCCGGAACCGATCAACACGGCGACGGAACCGGTCAAAAAACGACGTCGGAACCGGCAACAAAACGGCAAAATGGAACCGGTAAAAAAACAGCCCTGCCGTTTCCAGGGCCCACTAAGTAAGGGCCCCAGTCCCAGCTGGCAGTACAGGCCGTAGTTTGGCATCGCTTGGTATCTCTTGGAAGCGAGGGTGGTCAAAAGCAAGGTAGGTTTGTTTTCCTCATGGATTCTTCGGCCTCCTCGCGCGGGCGCTCCCAGCCTCTGTGGGCCCCCAGTCCCAGCTGGCAGAGGGCACCCATCGGGGCGTACCCTGTGGCCCCGTGGGGGCCGCTGCGGACACTCCCCTCGACGGCGCGCCCGGGGGGGGGAAGGCCCCTGGCCTTCCGTGAGGGCTGAAGAGTAACACCGCGCGGTCGACATCTAAGCTCCTGTGGAGGAGGAGGAGGAGGAGGAGGAGGAGGAGGAGGAGGAGGAGGAGAGGAGGGAGGAGGAGGGGGAGGGAGGGGAGGAGGAGGAGGAGGAGGAGGAGGAGGAGAGGAGGAGGAGGAGGGGGAGGAGGAGGAGGAGGAGGAGGAAGGAGGGGGAGGGGGGGAGGAGGGAGGGGGAGGAGGAGGAGGAGGAGGAGGAGGAGGAGGAGGAGGAGGAGGAGGAGGAGGAGGAGGAGGAGGAGGAGGAGGAGGAGGAGGAGGAGGAGGGAGGAGGAGGAGGGAGGAGGAGGAGGAGGAGGAGGAGGAGGAGGAGGAGAGGAGGGGGAGGAGGAGGAGGAGGAGGAGGAGGAGGAGGAGGAGGAGGAGGAGGAGGAGGAGGAGGAGGAGGAGGAGGAGGAGGGGGAGGGGAGGGGGAGGGGAGGGGGGGGCGAGGGGGAGGGGGAGGGCAGGGTCAGGGGGAGGGGAGGAGGAGGGGAGGAGGAGGAGGAGAGAGGAGGAGGAGGAGGAGGAGGAGGAGGAGGACTATGTTTCGGACTATGTTATTCCGGACGGCCCCCGGGGGGTCCCCGAGGGGGCGACTCCCCGGCGCGGGACAACATCCGCCCCCTGGGCCTTCGGCTCCCGCGCCTTGGGGAGCCGGGGGCGCCGCTGCCCCAGGGGGTACCTTTCACGGGGGAGCGCGGCGCCCCCGTCCGCCAAGGGGTGTGGGATGGGCGCGTCCGGTCCCCCCACAACGCCTCAGCCGCGGGTCCGTGTGGCCGCGAGGGGGGCGGCCCCCTCCCACAGCACCATCTCCCACCCCGGGCTCCCCAAGCGAAGGAAAGCGCGGAGGGGAGGGGCGGGGGGGAGGAGGCGACCATCCTCTGCGGCACCGTCGGGGCGCTAGCGTCCGCGCCCCGCGTGGCCGAGTTCGGCCGGAACTCGGCCACGCGCCGGGCGGGCGGCGGCGCCTTCCCCCCCCGCGCGCCGGCACCCCAGCGGTACCCCCCCGAGCAGCCAACGAGAAGAGGAAAAGGAAGGAGGTGGGGGTGGGCGGCCCTCCCCTGGGGCCCGCTGCCCCGTCAGCGCTCCCGTCCGCGCCCCGCGTGGCCGAGTTCGGCCGGAACTCGTCCACGCGCCGCGCGGGCGGTGGCGCCCTCCCACCAGCGCGCCGGCCCCCCAACGGC